CAGGTGGGAATCACATTATCTCTGTAGTCCCCTAGCCCCTAGCTAAAAAAAATGAGGAAATAGTACCTCTAGATGACCAGAAATTACATTTTTAGTAAAATTCATCATCACATCACCATTATATAATCTCAAAATGAAGCGCCAACAAATTTCTCATGATCTTTTATCAGGGATTTTCGGTAACCATAGAGATCTTATAATAGTGTTGATGTACTATAGAAAATAAAGCTTAAAAACATTGTTTTTGAGTATGTACGGTACTTTACATGCTTCAAAGCTGTGATTTCACAACCACCACCTCAGCCCCACCATAGTTGGGACTGAGGTTAGAACATTTGAGGAAACACAGTTAGGACCCCAGTGGACACCTTCGGGACCAAAAAAGTGTCCACTTAATAGGTGTGTCCCCTGAAAATATGGGTTTTTGGCATATTTTCTTACAATGATGACTTTAGAACAATTTGCAACAAAATCAGTGTTTGCCTCGCTGTAATGCACATTTCACTTGTCCTTGAGCAAGACACTTTATCTGCATTGCTGTATGAAGTTATGCCCTCCCAATTTCAAACCATCACTGCATGGGCTCTCTTCACCCAGCAGTAATGGGTACCTAGTGGGGTTGCCTACTCCTGCGATGTTTACCAGCAGCAACCCAATGACAAAGAAAAGGCGCTCTATAAATGATATAAATAATAAAATAATATGTATAGGTGTAATTTTGACCTACCTGACGTGGAAAATTACACACATGCTTCTCCTGACGCAAATCCAGTTATTGTCTATTATTCCATCACGACAATAGCAATTACTATCAATAAAATAATAATAATAAAATGTTCCCAATATTATTTAATGATGCAATATTAATTGCCAAATATTCCTTTTTTTAATTTAAAATATTGAGCTTTCTATTGGATGAAAGTAGCATGAAGAGTAGCGATCTAGAATAAATCGTGCATGTTATGGTTTGTGTAATCCTATATGAAAATACATGAAAAACGAAAGAAACGAAATCCCCATCATGGTTAATTGTCAAAATAGACAAGAATGGTTTATATGAAGTAACACATTCAGTAGGCGTACAGTACAGATGTTAACTCTAAGGATTCAGGGGAGAAAAATCTGGTTTATTGCTCAAAAGGTGATAAAATATGAATTTAAATGATTTTTTTAATTTGAGACTACTGTAACTGTTGTGATACAATGATAAAAAAAAAACATTGAGTGTCCCCTTAACAGGGGGTTTTGACCATTAGGCACACTCAGAAAGTGTCTCTGTCCCCTTAATTAGGGGTTGGCCGTAGTGTTAAAAGATTGCCCCTCGTTTCACGGAAAAGTGTCCCCTTAATAGGGGTGTCCCCGAAATAGGGGTGTCTCAAAGGAGGGGTTCTACTGTAATATCTCTAGATGGTCGGAATATGACACTTTTATATAGTAAAATTCATCATTATCACATCTTCATTATATAGTCAAAATGAAGCGCCAACAAATTTCTCATCTTCTTTTATTAGGGATCTACATAATATTCAGGACAACTTAGGCCTAACTAGGCCTATAGCTTAAGGCTTTAACTATACTATAATAATTGTGGTCAAAAAATCACAACTTACTTTTTCGACTTTAGCACAATTTTCTTAACTTTTTAATATTATTAATATTATTATCTGTTTTTAAAAATCGTCATGATCATCATCACCATTATTATTATTACTACTACTAGTAGTAGTAGTACTTTAATATTAAAACAAAAACTTATAGAGCTTGCAAAAGTATAAAAACCAAAATGAACCATACAATATCACATTTCTGTATCTAAAAAGACCTGGCCTGGGATTTATGAATTTAAGATTTTTAAAAATCGCGCTTAGGCCTATGTGTTATTATAGTAGGTTGCCTTGTATAATGTGTGCTGATGCATATTTACATAGTTTAGAAGTAGGCCTATTCATTTTGAGTGATCCCCGAAAGAATTTTATTGGCTAGCAACAAGCTTTAAAATGTTAACACTGTGTACAAAGGGGTGGGGGAGCCGCGGCTGCCAGGGCTCCCCCTGTATACGTCCCTGTTTCAACCCGATGGTAAAGCTTCAGCTCTTGACTCATCCTGTTTTTTAAAATAATATCCATGTCTTTCGGGGACGCCTCCCCACTTTATCACTCTTTGGGCTTAAAAAAATTCTTAGTAATTGGTAAACGAATTTTGGCAGCCATCGATTTAATTTATTGCACAATCTTTCATTATAGGCCTTGGCCTACTCAATAAGGTTAGCCTACTATTATAATTGAGGGAAAATTAATCTCTGGCTCCATGGGGAAAAATGGAGATCGAGAAGCTAATCCCGACGCTGCGGTGATGATAAAATAATAGGACGCTAGCTTGGGGAATGAGGTGATATAGGATGTGAATTTTAATATTCGGGTGTACAGTAATAATTATGCCCAGGAAATTTCTACAGGGGTGCCTTCCTACCCAACCACACCGTCACCTTAAGCTACGCCCATTAGAGATGCCGGTTCGCGTGCCACAGAGCGCTTTAGAGCACTGCACATAATAAATATAAATCTGTGGGACATATAGGAATATTGACATCGGTTAAACTTCAAAAGCAGAATTCAAAACGAAACTTCAGCATTCCAGTCATTTTAATAAGCTGCAGTGTTCTACACTCTCCCTTCATTTATTTGTCATAAACCGGTCACTAAAAGGGAATTCCCCTTTTCTTTCTCTTCGGAGAGCCGCGCTCGAGCGAGTATACCACTGGGAAGTAGAGTATACGGGAAGTCTCGTTGGAAGATGAGATTAGTTGTAGACAATTACATAAATCTAAAACTCGATAACAGCCACTCTTCTTGATGAATGATAGGAAGTAAACAAAATTATGAGATACATCCCTAGGTAAACAATATCCGGCCGCCAATGACCTACCTCATTTAATCTCAACAGAAATATCGGGCCGCCAATGAGATAGCTGTAATCAAACCTCTAATTGTCGCTCTTATAGCCTTGTCACTGATTTACTTCGCTGTACAGGAGCGCGCGGCGCACTATTTTTCTTGAGCCGTAACAAACAGCAACAAAACAAATCAGACCTTGACCTTTGACACTGCAAGTTCATTTTAACCTTTTTGTGTGCAACTATGATTATTTGTATTCAATGATATTTACATGTGAATAGTTAGAGAAAAAATTTGTATTTTTATTATATAGGGTCTATCCTGCTTAACTTCCTGCTTAAAATAAGAGGTTGACCTAATGACATCGAGAGGTCATTTGGCAATCAAATGTGTGATTTTGATTTCTTAAGTTTAATACTTATTATTATTTATGCAAAATGTTTAGAAAATTAATTATGAATGCCGAGCTATACTGTATAAACCTACTACAAATCCAACTTTGACCCTGACCATTGACACTACCAGGTCATCTGAACCTTTTTATGTGCAATTATGATTATTTGTAATAAATGTGATATTTACATATAAATATTTATAGTAAACACTTGTAATTTTCTACAATTATCCTGCTTAGCGTCCCAAATAAGTGGTTGACCTTTGACCTAATGTCATTTGTCATTTGGCAAATCAAATATGTGATTCGAATTCTTTGGGGTCATGTATATATTTGTACCCAATACATTTATATACTCAATACCGGTATGTAGTGGTTAAGGAGAAAATTAGCAGGGCAAATTTTTCAAATGGCGGCCATTTTGAATTTATGCAAATTAGGTAATTAATATTGGCCGATCAAGGTAGATTATGGATATGCTAATTGTTACAGGCAAAAGAACGTATTTCAGCAATAAAACAAACTTTTGCAATTTGTTTCACTCAATGCCTATTTTACATATAATTTTACCTGTCTAAAACGCTGGCGGTACCCTCAATTTGGCGGAACTGCCAACTCTTGCGTACACGTAAACACAAATTTGATGTTATCTTTACGATCGGCTGTCTAATCATAATCTACGTTACTACGAATAAGAAACCATCGCATGTAAACAGACGGATTGTAAACTGGTTGTCATGCCAACTGGATCGAAGTCCAGTTTCTGCAAGGTGATTTGTTTTGTGTTGTATTGAAGGTTCGTGTGAAAGGCTGATTAAAATTTTGTTGTGACTGAAAAAACACGTCTCATCTGCTGATTAATTTGTTATATCATGAAAACAATACGGTATTGTTTGCAACTTGTTGATGATCGGCTCGGCGTTGTGTACAATGCAAGTTCTAATCACACACTGGAAATTTGCAACATATAAAAAAGTCCCCATTCACCTTATTTTGCCAGCGATCTCCCCTTTAATCATCAATCCCCCTCCACTCTTAACATTCAAGCTCCCCCTCCCTGCATCATCCCTTCCCTCCCATCTCAATATTCTAGATTCACCATTCTGGACATAATTTGTTGATTTTACTGTATACAATTTTCATGACCTTATTTAGGCATGTCACGTGTTTTTTGTCAAATAAAATTTGACAGGGCTTTGGTGTAATTTGACTGAGCAGTTTTTAGTGGAGGGTATAGAGAGAAAGAATCAAATTAGTGCCACCACTTCGTACAGATGCAATAGTGGTAAGAACATGGACCATGGTAAGAGTAAGAATTCCATCGTGAATTTTATGCTGCTGTTAATGTTTCACTGCTGCTGCTTTTAACTGACTTTCGGCAAACTGGGTTGGGCACTGGATTCGGCAAACAGGGTTCGGCAAACTGGGTTTCGGCCAACTGGGATTCATTGTTTTTGAGTCGGCAAATTGGCACTCTGCAAACTGGGATTCGGCAAAGTGGTCTTGGCAATCTGGCATTCGGCAAATTGCATTTCGACCATCCGGCCTAAATCCTCACCGAAAGCTGTCGGCGGTAGAGTGTAACGATTGTATGGGATCCAAACACTGTATGTTATTATATTGAATTCATATTTAGCCCATCACAGTTGGTATTATATCTACGGTAATTAAACAATAACACAAAAAGACTGAAAAATACTTTTCTGTTTATATATCTATAGTCTGACTGGTTTATTTGATAGGAAATTCACAAACATGAACAATCAATTTCAGAGCTCTGTCCAGACCATCAAATTTCATTTAACAAAAACATGTGACATGCCTAAATATTGTCATGACATCACATCATGACCATATATAGGCACATCATGACTATATATGGCCATACAACAGTTGTTTGTCAAAGAAAATTTTATAATCTCGACAGAGCTCAACAAAGTACATCATAACAAGTGATTGTAATCAAAAATTTTCAGCTGCCAAATGCATCTTGAAGCTTAGCAAATAAACAGATTAATAACAGATTATGTAAACATAAATGGATTACTAGGGATTATGCAAAGTGATATACAAAGATGTATATTTTACTGGTTTTAACTAGTATTTGCCTATCGTTTTAAAGCTAACATTTTGGAGTGCGCCCTCAATATTAGTCACAAAAATACTGTGTGAACATCTAGTAACAACTGTAGCGTAGCTAAATATATATATACACTGCCCAAAAATGAAGGGATTAAGATAATCAAAATTTTTAATATCACTATCAAAATTGATAAAACATTTTAATACAGCAATTCACTCAAATCCGGCTGGAAAAGATGTATTTTCCAACATGCTACCCGAGACATGAGGATGAAGAACATACGCATTAAAAAGTTCAGCTGAAGATAACGTATTTGATTTTCAATCCTAATCATTGATTATTTATGGCAGAGTTCATATCGATGGCTCATTTTTTGTTAAGAAAGTAGATCGCTATTCAATCATTGATTATATGATTAACTATGTTCTATTTAACAGCATTATAAACCAAGGTATGGATACCACACACCCAACTGATGTACGACAGGCATTTTAAACAATGCCTCATTCGGAAGTGAACAATGTGACAATGTTGGTCCCTCATTACAATTACAAAAAACTAGGACCGTAGCTCCTCAGGCATAAGCCCACCCTCTACTTTACGCCCAACCATACATACCAGCCTTTCCTCGAGCAAAGGCCCAGGCCATACAAATATTCTCAAAAAATAATATAAAATATTGGCACCGAATAGGCGAAGTGCTGAATAATCGTCATTTGATTAAAAAGGGGATTCCTCGGGTACAAGCCCACACCAAATATTGGCCCAATTATGTGTTCAAGGCAGATGGGCGTATACCAAAGGAACTACAGTATTATTTAATGGCAGTCGGAATAAAAACATCTACTGGTTATGCATAAGGCTTCAATTCAACAAGTGTGTAGGCGCAAGTATGTATGTGTTGTGTGTGGATACAATTGTAAAAGCTTTGGTCTGAATTTCAAGTGTTAGGCATATTTCCCCACTAATAATACATATATCACCTATATAGGCCTACATGTCCCACACCTAAACACACATGAATTGCATGGTTGGATCCAGATTGTAATTTGCTGGGGTCGGAACCTGCCTGTCAAGGTCCTATTTTTCCGAGGCAGAGGCCGGGGGTGTTCCCAAAGCTAATGTGGGTTGAAAGCACCAACACCTCTTCAAAGTGGCAGAGTTTTAGCAATTTTGAAATCTTTTACACCTGATTTTTGGCTGTTGACAAGGGACGTATTAAAGCTCCCCTTTCCCTACCCCCAGTGTCCACCACTCCTCTGGATCGAATGATACTAAGGGGAGGAGAAATTTTGTTTATATATTTGCCATTTTACCTTCAAAATCTATCCCACAAAAAAGATCGGAATTTTCTGTAATTTAATTATGTAGATCCTCGCATAGTAAATAAAATGATAAATTTGTATTCACTTATATTCTACTGGATTTATGATAAATTAAGATCAAATTACTTGTACTTAAACCTAAAAGTGTCCCCATCCCAGTTTTTTTTTTATTTGTATATTTATCACACTGTTGGTTTTGCATTGTTATATATATAAGTATAAACATTATATGCTGGACATAATACCACACAATATATGAACTAGAAAATTAATTGCATTGCGTTTTCTCCACTATCACACAAAACAGACCAAACATGCCTGTTCCCTATCACCACAAAAACGCAAAAGCCACACACGGCTGGTTTTTGAGTTTATATTCAGTGGTGGCACCAGCGGCCGTCAGACAGGTCATGACCCCCGTCGTCCAACACAACGGGGTCGTCGGAACAAAAATAATAATTTTCCTATCAAAATAACATTATGATGGCCAATCACTAATATTGTGGTTTAAAAGCATAATTTGGGCCTCACTAAGCCATAAACTCACCCTGTGAAACCCTACCAGGGATTTTTTTATTCCGGGACCCTGACCGAGGCTCTAGTCAGCGTCTCGGTTCGGACCCCTAACGGCATATTTCTGGAACTACCACTGTTTATATTGATGGAACCGGTGAAGCAGAACAAGTTTAAGTTTACATAGTCAATGTAGAAATAATTCAGAAGCCCTCACAAGAAGTAGATGGCCAGAAATAGAATGTCGCATGAAAACTGAAAGGATTTTTTTTTGGTGCAGTTAATATAGCAACGAAAATGGTATTCGGAGGGTCTTAATTTTAATTCAGAAAACAAATATACTTTATTAAATGTCATTTTTTCACTCAATTCAAAAATTTGCTTTGCATTAATAAACAGAAAATTCAATAATAAAGATTAATTTAATGGATGAATAATAGATTAGTCTTTTTAATGTTTTTGTTTTAAAATCTGTGATTGTTTTGTCAATATTTTGAGGGAAAAAAACAACTAAATTAGACAAAAAAATTAAGTTTACATTTTTAAAATAAAAAATTAATTATATTTATACTATATAAATTAAATAAAATTTTAGCATAAACTTGTAGCCATAGTCCTTTCAGGTTCGCAACATCAAATTCTGGAACTACTTCGTGAATAACAAGATCTAGAACATTACGTTTAAGTTGTACACATTTAAATAGCCTTTACCTAATCTAGCGTATGGGTAATTGTTACATAACTAACACACAATAAATACCTACTTAATTACTATGAGAAGAAGTAACGACACCGCCGGCTAGCATATATAATGCTGTCCATAACTTGCTTATTACTTCTCTCATTCTCTCTCTCTCTCTATACTTACATTATATACAAGAGCATCAGATGCCTCAGAATAAACACAAAATTATTAAAGCACCTACCGCTTCATTTTTTTTCTTTTTTCGTCACACTTAAAAAATAGAAATAAATAAAAATTACCCAAAAATGGATATGTATAAAGTATTTTTTAGTCTTTATCGTGGATATATAATTTTGCAAATTATGCAAATAAATATCGATCGACACAAAGTCAAAAAATGAGTTGAACATAAACATACTTATTTTGTTTCATAAGTAAATGGAACCTGCGATCTTTTTTTAATAATTCAAATATAATTTTGTCTAGTTGTCAATTTATTTCCAACCGCAATAGGTTCAGCGATTTTACGAACTGTGCGGCAGTTTCCTGGCCTGTGTGACTTGCCTTCAATCGGTTCCCCGTGGGATTTTTCAAATGGTATGAATCACCGATTTGCTAATGGCAAGGAAATGCAATGCTTCCTAACGGAACATCATGACTAGCACCCAAATCCAATTTCCTCTGTTTTTGGCAGACTGCCAAACGTAACCAACCAGCCTTGGCCAGCTATTAAGCATTCTTCATAGTCGCAATGGTTAATTGCACGGTTGCTTTGCACAACATCTGGGGCGTGCATAATTTTCACCCCCTTGAGTATAATGGAATAACCTAAGACAGTTGGAAAAACCCTCAAACATTTTTTTGCAAATTCTATCATATTGATTAGCATAATCATTTAACGTTTCTATATCATTTGAATGGCAAACTAAACCTTATTTGGAATATTAATGTAAGACCATTCCATTCATACATAGGGAGAATTTCATAAATTATTATTTTCATATTTTAGGGGAATAGATGTTACCTTAAAAACTCTAACTTAAGATTCAAATTTACTATATACTGTATATTTATTCTGAATAATCTTTATTTTTTATTATCAAAACATTAAATTTCGACCAAATTTTTCCTCGAAAATTTTAGCTCGCATCTCAATTCCTATAAATAGTATTATATAAATGCAAACTTTTGTAGCGTCCATCTAGAATTTTGTCTTGATAATACTAAATATATATCTTGGTGTAATTTTTTATATAATATAATTCACTTACACTTTCAAAACAACAATGTACAGATAGTTTTTGACAGACTGATTTAGAATCAAATGAGTTTTACAAACACCACAAGTAACAAAATTTTAAATCGATAAACCAAAAAAAGGGGTTTAAGCTCTGTCCCAACTATCATTGATATTTATGTGAAAATATTGTGAAATTCCCATATATGGCAATGATGACATCATCATTGCCATAGTCATCATTGCCATATATGACATCATCATTCCCATATATGGCAATATGGTTGTCATAACACACCAATATCATATGGATATAATGTTATATCATACCCATATATGGACATATCATATCAAGACCATATATGGGCATGATGTCATATCACAACCATATTGGCCTATGTGTAAAATGATGTCATATCACAACCATATATGGACATAATGCCACACCATGCCCATACACTGTATATGGGTAAATCACAGGTATTTTTCACAAAAATTTGATAGTGTGAAGACAGCTTTAGACCCTTGAACAAAGGCAGTCATTAAAAATATTTTTGGAGATCAAATTCCATGAAATGACGTTAACTGTTGGACTATTGCAAAAACCCTGGTGACCAACAGAAACACATGGATACTTTAAATATGTACATATGAAACACAAATATTGGTTAGATTTCCAAGGCAGGTCATTAAATCGATAATTCCAGTGTAATTATCTCATTTTTAATTCTGACTCTTGGCATCCAACACGGAGGAACAGTTTTTGAACGGCGTCTCACGATACATAAATTCCCGGACGAGAGTATTGAAATGTTTGGTATGGTGCAGGTACAGGTTCAATAACTTCCACTTTGACATTTGACCCCGCATTGCTTGAGTACAAATGTTCTTCTTGTTCACTCTCCGTTTCGCTTTCGCTTCCCTGCTGCTGGTCCGGCGTCGGTGTTTGTATTGGCGTGTTTCCGGGCGTACCCTGATCGCCCTCTAAATGGCGGATGGCTTTCACTATTGTGTCAAGGTTTTGTTGGGATGTCGTCGACATTGGGGCCGACATGACTGGTAGACCCATGGGCACTTGCTGTAAAATTGAAAGCTCAGAATTTTGGTAAGTACCCCTGGAGTGTACCTAAACAAAATAAAATAATTCCAAATTAATATTCCAAACATAATATCAAGAAAATATATATTACAGTGACATTTCCCAATTATAAATCTCGATTTTACGAACCCAATTTGCGACGATGACATCATTAAGAACGATCGTTTTTAACTACAAAAATACTTAAAACTGTATTTTAAAGTCTTCAAAAATAATATAAAAATTTATATTAGCTAAGAAAGAAAACACTTAAACCTTAAAAGTGACATCATTTTTAGCTGAGATATATTACTTTTGAGCTGTGCATGCTTGTTCAGGCATACTGTACAGTAAATCTCACTTTTTGTTCATTGAGGGCACTATGCACATAAATTTGCTATTTTTATGAAGAGAATAATATTAATAACAACCGTTTTGGCCATTATATGGTCATTAGGAAATCACTTCAAATAAATACTTCACAATGAGCACAGGTTATTTTGGCTTCTGCAAAGTATTATTTTGTTAAAACAGTAAAATCCAAGTCATTTTTCGTGACAAATTTTTGCTCCTATGGCAAGGCTTAGGCCTACCTAGCCCTGTACTTTGTAGCATAGGCCTAGACCTACCCTCACCACACTGAGATGCTATGAAAATTCGAACTCTCTGAATTATGAATTTCCTCAATTACCAACTCTGTTTGGACGAAGGGGTACATAATTGGGTGATAATACTGTATTATAATTTTTAGATCCAAAAAAAAACCAAAAAAACTCCAATCTTTTAGAAGTCACTATAGTAAATGTTTATGAATAAGCTATAACTCATTTAATCCAAAGTTCAGAAAATCAATGTACCTGTTTTGTCAATTCTTTTAGTTTTTCAGGGTAGAGTTGTGATTCAAGTCCTCTATTTTGATCTTCAAGTAAAAGTCGAAATCTTCGTTCACGGTCCAATTGGCAACGCAATTCCAACATTTCTCTTCGCAAATCGTCAATCTACGAGGAGAAAAGAGATGACACGATCTTAAACTCGGACAAAAGATGACAATTGTTTTTGAGAACTAACTAGTTGAGATTATCAAATTAATTGTATGCCCATATTTAGTCATGATGACACTATATATGGTGATGATGTGATGTCATCATTGCCATATTTTATGTCGCATAAAATATCAGTCTTGACAGTGCGTTACTTAGTGTTTATCGTTTGAAAGTTGACTTTTCAGAGTGAAAAAAAACTAAAGTATCGTAGCTTACGGTGGCGGATGCATCTTCAGATTCTGGACTACCAATTCCTTCATCCGTCATACTGTCGTAGCGTTTTCGTTTCTTGGGCGATGGAGAATCTATTTCTCCACGCTCATAACGTGCTACCAGTCGCTTCAGTTGTATGTTTTCTCGCAGTATTTGCGTCTTCTCTTGCTCCATACGTGTAATATGTTCCGCTGTTTGTTGAAGAATCGCTGCCTATGGGTGAAAAATAAACATTCAAAATAATCAAAATATTGATCACAACAAATGAAAGATGTCATTACATAAATTGTACGAAGTTGTATAAAAATTAATGAAAGATACAATAAACAAATAAAAATTATATTTACACATAAATTTTGCAATATTTCAATACCTAAACAGGAAATGATGAAAGTTCACTTCATAATCAAAATATCAACAAATAAAAAAAGTTAACAGTAACACAAATTGTGAAGAATAGATAAAAATTTATATAATAACCAACATCAAATAATATTGTTATAGAAATAATGATATTGTTAATAGTTACAAAAATTATGCAATAATTAATAATAAAAAAAATATTCACTTAATTGACAATAAAAATATTAATACCAAAAAAGATGATCATGTGCAAAAAAAAAATTGGGTACTGTAAGTTCTTTTTTACAGCATTTGTTTAAAAAGAGAATACCTCAACTTCCAAACCATTTCCAGCAAACTCCATTGCTCTCCAAAAAAATTACCCATCCACTGACAACATAATTTGATTATAAAATGAGTGAATTGCAACACATTGTTTTGTATTACAGTAATACCCAGTATGGGTTATGGACAAACATATAGTAAACATTAAGATATATTCAGTGTGTTTAAATGTCACCATCGTATCTCTTTTTTTACTCTGATACTATCTTATTTGTTTACAGCCGTGAGAACTTTGATCAGCAAGTGCTGCGAATGTTATTTACGCACAATGGATTATGCTAATGAATTGAGAGAAGAAAAAAAAAAGCTTGAAAGAAAAAAAAAAAACTCTAAAGCAACTGTAAACAGACAGTGATCAATAACCGTAGCACATTATAATTCCTGTCTGCTTGGTATGCTGGTTGGAGCATTTTCAAGTTTGCAGATAATATTTACGGTTGTTTAATTTTGCGGATTTCTTCTGGCATTGACAGCAAGTGTTGCATACCTACTGTATTATTACACAATCAGATGGGATTACATAACCTGTGGGGCCTTTGAGAGAATTTCAAGTGTAGGATGGAAGGTTTGCCAAATAAAATTAATTGCTAGTTTTATGTCCGGGATTTTAAATTATTTTTTGGCAAGGGTATACTATTTGCTATTAACTATCCTACTGTATATTCTGATGGTAAACAGGCCGAGATAACCAATAAAAATTGTTTGATTAACCTTTGCAATACTTACAGTACATTTGCCATTTATGTTTCTACCTCAACTTTAGGCAATAACGATCTTTCAAATTTTCATTATTTTTATTTTCCATAGGAAATTAGCATATTTTTTCATGAGGCTCCAATATTTTGATACAGGTGGGACATGAAACTAACAATATTATTTGACCTAAGACTAATTTTGCTGATTTTTTCTGGTAGTGACAGCATTGCATACACTGTATCATTACACAATTAGCCAGGATTACATAACCCATGGTGGCTTTGATTATTTCAAGTGCAAGGATAATACTAAAGCTATAAATATCATTCAATACAATAGCTCATTTGTTAGGCCTTTCAAGGTCTTTACTGTAATTATGGTAAAAAAAGGTCTCCCAAGGTTTATACAATACTTGATATCTACCATAATTATTATACAATATTACTCATCACTTTTGCCAACAATAAACACTTTTAAAAATTGTTTTAAATAATAAAAACAAAGATCGAACAGTTTCCTAAAAAAAACAATAATTTTGTTTATAAACTATTTGATATTATGGATCATTATCAACAAAGATTAATTGATTTCATAATTAATAAGATTAATTTCCATGGCAACATAGCAAATGTATTTCTAGAAAGGCGAGACTTCTTTTATTCCTTGTTTCCCATTCTTATTTTTTTAAAGATTATCAGAGGAATTAAAAGATATATGAAAGATATACTTTTATTTTTTTCTGAAATGTCCACTTTTACTGAAATAAAATTGTAAATTATGATTTATGAGTGACTGAAGACATATTCACTACCACAAAACAGTCTAGGCAATACAAGTCTGCTTTGTTAGGAATGTATATAGTATTTTCTATACAGTATATTAGCTGTCCTGTTCTTACAGTAGTTGAACCGGGAATCACAATGTTTTGCACTTTAGTACATGATGTGTAAACTCATAAAAATGCATCATGTAAAGCAGGCCAGTAAAACTGGTCTAGAGTAAAAATTAAATCTGGGCTAGTAATTTTTTTTAGTCCAAATAGACCTGTGTCTTACTGTAGCCAGAACAATGTAATTTTTTACAGCCCTGGTATAAATCATGTTTCATATGATAGCTTCATTCTGACTTTTGACTGTACATGTAATATAGTAGGTAATTCACAGGCTATCAATGTGTTATCTGTGTTAACCATTCATCCTCTCTTCCTGTATGAGGCTTGATTAATAGCGTATAGCACTGATCCAAGCAAGAACTACCCCAAACTATAGATTAAAAAAATTATGCATTTACAAATGGGCCAGTGGACTGATCTTTGAGATTTTGTGCCCATTTTGTGACATAGACACTGCATCAACAAATTTCCCAGATGATTTTAGTAAACGATGAGCCTGGACCGATGCCAGCACCATCGACAGTGTCTGGCATTATTGCTGCGTTGGCAGCTTGTCAAAATTGGCACCGGTCTTGGGATAATCATATGATTATGACTGTCGTACAGTACCTGCGTTTTTTTTATTCTTTCCCCGCTTCATTGTGTTTATATCAGCTGCAGTCACATGCTCGCTGTCATGTGACCGAGCGATAGCGCAGTAATAAAACACTGTGGACTTAATATTGAATGCAAGGGTGGGATCCAGGGAGTGGAGCTTTTCTTAGAAATGGATCACATCTTAATGCAAAAAAATTGCTCAGATTTGATTACCTACATTCCAAAGTAGAATGATATATTGGAGTAGAGACTCTATAGTCTGGCGGTTACAGAATGTCACCAAACTTTTAATACAGGGTTTTGGGATCGAATCCTGTGTATTCTAAAATACAAAATATGATTGTTTTCTCCAATTCCTAGGCCCAATAATGAGGCTTACAATAGCTTAATTGCAGCATCATACTGTACAGTAATAGGTTAACCTACTGTAGTCTAACTTACTGGATGTAATTTCTTATAATACTCTTCAGAACAGCGCCACCAGAGGGCTTGATGACAGTAGTACTGTACTGAATTGTACTTCACGAGTTAATTTGCAGATTGAAAAAAAAAAAGACAAAAATATCGGACTCAAAACTAAATCATTAGACGAAACACTTAAAAATAGCATCACAATCCAAAACTAACTGATTCTAAAATTAACAATAATCCGAATTAGATATCGGAATATGAGATTAAATCATATGATCGTATTTTGTACCTGGAGTACAGAGGCTAATTTCTAGTAAATCTGTGTGGTTGATAACCTGCGCCATACTGTAGTACACACATCCCATTGTTAGTTACGCAGTGTCAGAATTCTAAAAACATGGGTTTTTCCCACAAGGAAATGGACGTTGTTCCAACATTGGAATTTGATTAAAGTATTTGATTGATTTTTGAGCTAATAATAAATTCAGTGCTGCTTGACAAACTTGGATTGAAAAATAACCATAATACAATCAAGCTACAGTAGTTTTTACAACAGTCATTTTTGTGTTGTTGAACTCGTAAAAAGAGAAAGCGGCCTTTTTAGCTGCATGGAAGCAGTGACTTGGTAATTACTTATAGAGGGACAATTTTGTGGTTATAGTAGCAGGGAATCTTGGTGGTTAAGGAGTATATTTATGTGATTAGGAAGGAAATGATAGTGAAAGGAGTGATAACTTCAGTGGCTAAAGATAACAATTTGATTTAAAGAGGAATTAAAGGAATTAAAAGGGGCGAATTGGTGGTTAGATTAACAACTCGGTGGATTGTACAGTACTTGTTTTGTAGGGTCACAAATGATTAGTACAAATGTTACTGCAAATTTCTGCTATCAATAAAGAGGTTTATTCTGGGATACAGAAAAACAAATCCCAAGTATTTTTCTCATGATCAAAGATAATTCCACTCCTCTAAAACCCCAAAGAAAAAAAAACTTTATACAGTACAATATGTGACACTTGGTATATATTCAGACACACACTAACTACTAAATCCTTTCCAAGCCACTGGGGCTAATAGGGCTGGAGCTTATCCCCAGTTTCTGTAGTGTGAAGCAGATGAGAGTTGTACTCCCCCTGGACCAGACACTAGTCCGTCGCAGGTTATTCCCCAGCAGTTTGCTGGTACCCATTGATACAGCTGGGTGGACTGAAGCAATGTAGCTAAAGTGCCTTGCCCAAGGACACAAGCGAATCGGCACAGCGGAGTCTCGAACCCAGACCTTACGATTGAAAGCCAAAACCTCAAACGCTGTGCCAAACTGCATTCAGCCACACAATAGAACATCAATTGTTGAATGCGATTTAGAAACTAAATTACTGTTATTAGTGAACAAAAAATTTAGTACAAACTAACTTTGCTGAGCTTTTCTCCATCGCTGTGCGGTATAAGTGTCTTCAACGACTGGAATCCAGCATTTATACTTTGCATCCGCCGTCTCTCGTTACTATTAGCAATCTCTCGTCGTACCCTCTTATCGGAGTCCTTGTGAACTGGACTGCTGTTGGGAAAAATTGAAAAACAAAATGGTAATATATTTTGCAATGTTGTGGCCAATAAACGATGCGACACATGTTGTTGTACATTTAATGGCAGGTGTACAGTGAATTGCTATGATAGTTAGGAAGGGGGGGTGGGGACCAAGGCTGGCTTGTTGAGGGAAGACAAAAAGGGTGGCACTGACTTTTTATTATGAAGTGTTTGATACTAGGCCTGTAGGCCTACTAACTTGCCTTAGCGCAACTACCCAAAAGAATTACTTGCATGACTATAATTCGATATCGGTCAAAGGTTATTTATTTTTGCATTCGGAGCTTTTTCTAATAAATTACAAAGATTCTAATCCGAAAATTCATCAGCAACTTTGGGCACCATTTCCACAGCGAAAAATAACAAAATGGCTGCTTTATAATATAAGGACTGCGGAAACACGGCCTTAGCGATCGCCGAGGTTTTAATCAATAAGCAGGAAAATTTTAGTCTCGCTTCCATCATTTTTATTACATTTGTTGACTGAATCACTAATTAACTTCAGTCTGCAATTAAGCAGAAAGTTGTCCATATGGTAGAATAACTAGTCCATCTGTTGTACTTATGATCAGTTCTATCTAATTCTCTAACATTCTGAAATACAGCTAAACTTTTGTGGAAAAAAATGGTAAAAAAAAAAAATACCGCACAAAAATTAGCTTCTAAAGTAATAAGTGACTCAATTGTTGGAACACTATTTAATCGAATCATGTTCAAATGATGAATCATTTTCCAACTGACAGACAGTTTATATGTCAAGAAGATAAATTTATAGTCAAATAATTCAAATTAAACCCCAAATAAAAAAAAATAAATGAACTAAATTACTGTATCCTACTGTTGTCACATGGGAAATTGTATCATATGACATGATTGTGTTAATAAATAAAATCACAATATTCACATCACAAACATGGACAACAGTTTCATACTATCAATTTCTATTCTATTTACACTTTGTTAATTGATCTTATGATAAACATTAACATGAAAAGAAGAAGCTTGGGTGTCCTGGGCCTGAATGGTATCTGGTATCCAATGAACACACTGGTTTTTATTGCAAATCAATTCCCTGTCTGCTAGGCTACTAAACAGCTGGTGTGTTGACTTAGCCAATGAAAACACAACCCTGTTTTATTGACCTCAACACCAGATATGAAGTTTAGTAGGAAACTGGGTACAGTATATAATACATTCTTTGGTATCATCACATGATGAGATACTGCGGAGTTCACGGTGTGGTCATCGACTGGTAGTGTCCAATACCAGCTGTTGAGGCCCAGGGTTCAATGCATAACAATTGAAATGAAATCAATTAACCAGGAGTTGAAATGCAGTTCAAACAATTACGCAAATTATTATCTGGACGAATCATACAAATATTAAATAACAATAATATTTTATTATATATATGTTGAAGCTTGCGGTACACCACGTAAGTAGTTCTGAAAAGAACTGTTGTTGTTGAGAAAGCCTCGACGTTTCGATTGAGATGCTTCCATCGTCTTCAGGAGAATAATATCTGCAGATACTCCAAACAGGGGAATACTTATATGTTTGGGTAGAGAGGCTGGATGGTGGTAAACTGACCAATGGGTGAAAGGCTAAAATACAACCTGGATGGTGATTGGATGGATAAACTGACCAATGAGAAGACTGCTAGTGAGAGGCTAAAACAAAAGCCATCGTTCACAAAAACAAAACAAAACGGTGGGAACGCCCAAACAAAGGAATGGTTCCAGGGCGGGAAAGTGGGTGGGAACGACCAAAAGCAAAGGCATAGTTCCAGAAGGCGGGAAATGGTGGGGCTTCGCTAGGTCCGATTAAACATGGACAGCCAAATATTGCTAATGACAAATCCGTCTTGATGTACAGTATTGTGTTTGTGAATTTCGGTGGCTTCTCTAGTCCTTCTGGAGTGCCAAGATGGTACAGTAGCTATTAAAGTAGTTCGGCTTTGTCCCAATGTACACGGTGTTGTTGACTGTGGGAATGCATGACTATAGAAGATTTTTCTTGTTCCCCTCTCCTGGCATGGCCTTGGTGTTCCTTGAGCCTAGTGCGGAGATCTCGTCCTGTTTCACCAATGTAAACCTTCCCACATTCGTACGGGATCCGATAAACTCCTGGTTGGCTTTGTGCTGGTGGTTTGTCCTTGTGTGTTTGTAGGGTTTGAGACCTGAAATGGTTGCATTCTTGCTGAAAGTATATGAAGCTGCCATAAATTGTGCTGTGTTTATATTCTGACATCTATTTTGGTCAATATTGCATGATTCGCAATGTAACGTTTGTTATAGGCAGGACAACATAAGGACATTCAGAAACATTACGTATGTCACAAATTCAAAGTGAAACCTACGCTGAGTCATTGTACCATGCAGACCTTCAAACGGAAACATGTTATCTTTTATCTTGCTCAACCAAAAAAAAACACCATCTTTTTTGCTCCTCATCAATTTCATGGTAAAAGGAAAACTGTTCACAGACTCCAGTAGGTGGGCTAGACTGTTTACATTCTCTAACTTGGGAAAAATTCCTGTCTGTCTCCCGAATTGCTGTGAACCAATAAAAAAAAGACCGTCAAGCTACCCAGGCAAGTTCTTGATCTATTCTGGCTTCCATCCAACCAAGAACCAGAACTTCAGTCTTGCAGTGGATAAGGGGTTAAAATACAAGGTCAATTGAGGTATAAAAACCAGCTTAAATTATTAGACACAAGATATGAAACACAAGACACTAAACCTTTTATATATTGATTTAATAAACGTTATAGATTCCAGGCCCGTATCCATGAGGGTTTTATGGTTGGGGAGAACCCCCTTTTTTCTGGCGAACCAAACACCCCACCCCCCTTCCAAATTTCCCGAACAAGTCCTCCAACCCAGTCTCGGATGTTACATATCTGCTTTTATAGTATTATTTAGACCCATAAAGCAAAAAAATAATCTGGCTTTGGGAGTTTCGCCGACCACACCAGCTCTTCGACCCTGGACCCGACGCCTAGAGGACCCCCCCCCCCCCTTGGAAGAACCTGGCTACAGGCCTGGATTTACAATGAACTTTATAACAAACTTTAAGGATATTAATATACATTGGAGGTACCTGGATGTAGTCCATACCTAATGTGGTCTGGCCTTCCCTTGGATTACTGTAATGAGGCCATGATAAAGCAGATTTTGAACTTGTGCTACGAAGGTCAACCAGGACTAAAGTTCTCTTTGCTTGAGGCATAGAATGGTGGGAACTGGTATTTTAAGCACTTCAAAAATGTGTCTAAAATGTTTGGATTCTTTCACTTTTAAAATTAGGGGTGGCCAATTATTTTTTAACCATGACAAATTCTAAATATGGAAAGCATTACAAATTCATTTTATTTTAATTTTTTAAAGTCAAGGTAGATATGAATACAAACACATTTCTAGTCCAGTGGTGTCTTGGAGATTGGGGGTTCTGATGGAGAGGGGTGGGGGATGAATAAACACTAAATGGGCACTACTGTATACAGTAGTTAGTAACTGGTATAGAGAGGTAATAAATAGGGGATATTTTTTTTTTACTTGAGTCATAAGTGGGAGTGAAGATCGAGCTTACACAATTGCACCCTCTTGCCAGACTAAAATAAGGCCTGTGCGGGGATATACCCTCCACGCAAAAATTAGGCCTAGAAACACATACACACGTTTCAGAAAATAAGGACTAATTTCCGCACATTTTACCGAAAATTAGGCCTTGACTATAAGTCTCTTAATATTAAACCAATGCAATTGTATGCAGTATTTTGATTTTCCACACAAATTTGAGCTAGTTTTTTTAATGTATCAGCAGTGCAATTAAAACACTTTATTACACTGGTTCTTAGGCATACGGCAGATCTAGACACCCAATGATATTCATTATTATTTTTGTAGGATGATCTTGGAAAAAGAGATCAGCGAGCTTCCTATCCTGGTACACACTGTAAGTCCATGATTATATCAGGCTAAAAAATAATATAAAAAAAAGTTAACCAGATGAAAAGAATACCATACACCTCATTTCAATTTAAAAGGAAAATGACTCCCACAAACAAAAAAGTCACCCAAAAATAAAACCCTACAAAAATGCATGGAATGCTGTCTAATCTATACATTGTGTACAAAATAATGAAGTAGATAAAAAGAAAGTTAAAAGAATTCCGGTGTCCTATTGTCAACTTCAATGCTTTGGAAAGTTTCCGTTTCTCAATTTCAAAGCGATTCTAACAATTGTCTGCTATACAGTACAATGTCTGTCTAGTTGGAACCAGTTTAACAAACTTTAAATCCTGCTACATACTGGACTACTTTTTATAATTCAAATTACGGTTTACATACAGAGCATCTTTTTGTATCTAATGTCATTTTCACTTCCTTGTTTGACAGAGCTTTTTTTAGAATCGACAGTTTGGTTTTGTGAGAAAGTTCATTAAGTCTGAACACTGGATGGAAAACAAAACTATCTACTATAGCAACAGCTATTACAGGCGTGGATCCAGTGGGGAGGGGGGGAGGCACGTTCCCCCGTTTTACTACTCAATTTCAAAATTTCAGTGCACATCAATGTTTAATGTATTGAAATACTATGATCGCTACTCACTTATCAGTATCTAATCTAAAAGTGTTGTGCCACCAATTGAAAAATTCTGGATATGCCACAACAAATTAAAAAAAAAATTTTGATTTTCAGGGCCCTATGCCTCACAAGCCCGTAGCCAGGGGGTTTGAAAGAACCTCCTTCCAGAAATGCCCTTTTAAATTATTACTAAAAGGTACGATTTGCTTGAATTTTTTGAAATTTAACTACAAATATTTTTAATTTGGCTTTTTTTTTTTATTGCCACTGAGGTGTTATTAACCATGGTGGGGTGGAGGTGGGTGTAGACTCATAGTGCCCTTTTGTGAAAAATTATAACCCCCCTTTAAAAATCCTGCCAATGGTCTTGTCTCAGGATGGAACTACCCGGACTGGTAACTGTTTGTACTTGAATTTCTATAATTTCAAGATTTTTGTTGCTGAAAATTCCATCGATGAGGATTGTTCTTCATAATAAAAATTCAAAAAATTATGAAATAAATATAAAGCAAAATAATTAATATATAAATAAAGCACATACTTTATAAAACAGTATATACATTGGTTGATAGGAAATTGACAAAATAATTTTTACTATTTTATTATTTACTGTATCATTTTTCTTGTATAAAAAATTTAAATTATAAATCATTACAATTACTG